CCCCCACCGCCGTATTACACTGAGAAGCACAGTAGCCCTCTTCTCTCTTCTGTGCCATGTCCTCCTCTTAGCATTCTCTGCTCTTCTTAGAATTAGGTGCAATGCTCATTTCAGAGGGAAGGGACCTGGACTAGCTTAAGCAAAATAGGATCTAAGATATTGCTGTTCAGACCCTTAAAACAAGGGTATGGACAGAACCAGGATATGACCCTGATATCCTGGGCTAATAAACACCTTTACCCAAGAAGAGAGAGTCCCAGCTGCTTGTGTTCCTCCCAATCGTGAGGCTGGGTGTTTGTACAGAACTTGGATTAGCTCCCTGTGCCTCCTAGTTCTTGAGCCTTATTCCTTTTAGCCTTAGGACTTCTTTGTTATGCCGGTAAACCAAGTATTAACTATAATCTTTACATTATGTTGACTGTCTATGCCGGATAGTCATGTAGAACAGTGGTGATTATGTATACTATAAAATGTACTTTTAGACCAACTTCATTGCAAGTTTTATTTGATTTCAACATTAAATCCTATTCAGGTAGGCTTACTCAGTTTTGGAAGTTTGATGCAGTGAGATTTGATGCAACCTCTAGTGAGGTTATCTGTTGCATCTTTAAAAATATTAGTGAACATTGTTAGTTATTGTATTGGACACCTCATACTTTGTCTTCTGAGCTCACCTTTCCTGCCGGCCTCTGCAGTGAGAACCAGCTCTGCCCAAATGGCATTTGACAGACAGTACCTCAACTCAGCTGCTCTGCCTACTTCTTGCTTTTCGCCCAGAGCCCTTGGGAAAACCTGGTGCCTACCTGCACGTGTGCCGCCTGAAGTATGGTTAAAAGGATTCCCAGTAGGGTAAGCCGTGACCGCTGGAGGGCAAACAGAAGAAGGATAAATGCTCCCCTTTCCCATCCCCAAAGTGGATAACTCTGCGGTGTACTCCATGCAGTCCCAGGTGGTCATGAATTTGATAATGACCCCGATACTGGCTTACTACTCCCTGGTTCAGCCTCCCCACTCCCTCATGCCAGCCCCTCATGCCAGCCCCTCCCTGAGGTAACTTCTTGTCATAGTTTGGGTTTAACCCTAAGTAAGAGTCTGAGGAAAGTATTTGAGTGCAATTAGTTTTATTTTGGGGAGGATCCTAGCGAACACCGTTAGAGGAATATTTAAACAGAGATCTGTAAGAAGGGAGGGAGCAAGTGTGTGACTATGGGGAAGCACGTTTCTGATGGAGTGAAGAGCCTGTGCAAAGGCCCTGAGGCCAGAATTACTTAGTAGACACACTGTTCAAGAATAGGGAGCAGCAATTGGGGCTGGAGTGGAGGGAGACAGGGGCCGAACAGTGGGAACTGAGGCTGGAGGAGAACGGGGTGAGGTGCAGACAGACGGGGAGACCCTAACAGCCCTTTGTTCAGTTAAGATTTCAGAAATGATGTGACTAGAGAGCACTCTAGGATATTGTACTGTTTTGTCTTTTGAATAAATATTTTGCAAATGCTTATTTCATTTGCCTGTGAATGACTTGGCAAGCCATTTGATTATAATATGTAGTCAGTCTCAAGGTGTTATTTGACACTCTGTTGCTTATAATGAGATTTTTCCATTGCAAATGAGACAAACTGTAACATCTTTCATAGGAACAAGGTAGGAAGGGTTCCTTGGTTCACACCCTTTACAACACAACAGTGTTTATCAGCAGTGCTTCTTTTGGCTGTGGCTATGGCAGAGTTAATGTTTATTTAGAAAATGGCCCGCTGTGGGAAGCTAGGCCCAGCTGCCTCCTTAACCCTCCCCTGTAGAGTGGCTTTTGCCACAAGGCATAGAGCTCCCCACCAGGCAGCAACTGGGGTGAACACATATGTTGGGCCCCACTGCCACTGAGGTCTCCAGAGCCCCCACATGCCATTATAGACAGTTAAATGCTTCAGACGCTCCATGGAGCTCTGGTTTGGGCTCAGCACTCTAATAACCACAGCTTCTTCAGAACCAGGTCCCACCAGAGTTTCCCAGCCGTGTCACCATTTCTCAACATTTCCCTTCACCAGCATTAGACTAGCTTCTTTTGCCCACCCTTCATCCTCCCCATGCCATGCCTATTCCTGTGCTCCTTTCTAAAAAAGTTCTTTTCAATTTATTAAAACAAAAAAAGTTCACCCATTTCTTCCACCCTCCACCCCCGCCTCTTACAACCACCAATCTATTGTCTGTATCTAGGAACTTGGTTTTCATAAATATACAGAGGGTGCCAAAGAAAGTATATACATTTTAAGAAAGGAAAACACTGTATGAAAATTGCAATAATAGATACCGATAGCAAAAGATGAATATAAGTCATGTGTATACACTTTTTTGGCACCAAGGTATATGTATGTGTGTATATGTGTGTGTGTGTGTGTGTGTGTGTGTGTGTGTGTGTATATATATATATATATGTATGTATTTAGAGTCCACATGTTATAGAGATCATACAGTATTTGTCTTTCTCTGTTAGACTTATTTCATTTAGCATAATGCCCTCAAGGGCCATGCTGTCTGTCACTTTTGATCCTGCCATATCTACTTCCGGTGATATCCATATCCTGCCTGGCCCTGTCTCACCTTTCAGTGATACCCTGTCCATTGACACCTGGATTCTCTAAATTCTTAAGACAACTTTAAACACTTCATGGAATCGTGACTTTTATGGTTGAAAGTGATTGTAGAAATATCCTAGTTCTGTAGTTTTTTCTTTTTTTTAAAGTTTGTAGCAGAGGATAGTTTTATTAGAGCAGAAAGGTACAGCTGTAGAAACGAGAGGGGGTCCCTAATGGGATGCCCCTATAGTTTTTCATTTTATCTTTTTTGATAACTGAGGCCTAGAAAAACTTCATGATTTGCTGAAAAGTATATATTAGGTTAGTGCCAGAGCTTAAACAAGAATTGATGTTTCCAGAATCCTAATCCAGAGTGCTTCCTGTTTCTCTATGAAAGCACATGGTGGGGCGGGCGGTTAGCTCAGTTGGTTAGAGTGCAGTACTCATAACACCAAGGTTTCTGGTTCGATTCCTGCATGGAACACTGAGCTGCACCTTCCACAACTAGATTGAAACAACTACTTGACTTGGAGCTGATGGGTCCTGGAAAAACACACTGTTTCCCCAATTAAAAAAAAAAAAAGCACATGGTATGTTATTGGGAGAAATTCCCATTTGCACAATTACTCGTATCATTATGCTAATTATATTAGTTATGCATCTGGGCCACTCTAAAGAAGGGAAATATTAGTGTAGGAAGATGGTTTCTGCCCTTGAAAATCCTTCCATTGTGAAGGCAAGTGAATTTAGCTGATAACTGGTTATTCTTATTTGGATACAAATTCACTGTTAAAAAGGCCAAATATAAGGTGATTCCTTATTTTTCAGTGATTGGCCTGCCTTTCCCCCTCCCAAAAGACTTTTTTCTTTCCAATTGAAATACATAACCTTTTAGGGCAAGAGATAAAATAGCCAAATGTCAGCTGTAGTACTTACTTAATCTATTAATTTAGTTATACACACTTAAAATTACATAATAAGGAAAATTGCTTTTTTTTCTCATTCTCACATCTTACAGAAAATTTCCATTTTATTTTTCATCACAAGTGTCTTTGACACCAATGCCTTTCATATTCCTAGAGCCGTTTTCAGTCATTCAAGCAAATCCTGAAAGCACCTCACCTTATCCCTGTCCCAGTTATTAGAAATACAGCAGCCCTTTTGAATTGGTGTATGATCTTACCACTGGGATTTTTATCCTAAGCTACAAGTACCCATTGCCCAAACAGCATTTGAATATTATCTGTTCAGTTGTATAGTTGTGATCACTCATAATAATCACTCACTGCCTTGCTATTCCAGTAATCTTTAAAGGCATGTCTTCAGAGGTATCCAGTCTTCACAATTGTGAGGCCTACCCCAAAATTGTTTTACATTCTTTGCCTTCTTAAAAAAATTAAATGAGGCAGTGCTGTTAGATTACTTTTTTAAATAGTGTGAAATGGCATCGATTGAATTCCAGGCTGCTGTGCCATCCTCAAGTTGTGCATTGTTATTCACAATAAAGTCATTGAGAAAGAACCTGAGAATATTAGAGCCTTTATAACAACTCAGATATAATTCCCTCTTTTTGAGGTTTTCTCATGCGGGAGGGGAACCCGTGGCCTAAATTTGGATATCTGTGGTAACCCCGATCTAGCCTGTGTCCAAGGACTTCCTCCTCCTTGCTATCTTTGATGACATTTGCTCAAATGTGACACTGAGGAAAAAAGTGGGTCTTTATCAGTGCAGCGGCACCCCATTCCTGAGGGAAGCCAAGCCCGTCCTGCTGATAGGTGCTGTCAACCGTCACATGTTAGCACATCACTAATACCTTATTTTCATACACAAACGGTATTTGCCATTGTGCTGCAGAGTTGGAGTGACACTGAATGAGTTGTGTTTGTTTGGACTTAGAAGCCAGATGGCCTGTGAAGCTTTACTAAAAAAGGCGGAGGAATGGGCCGGAACTTGTTTCTCACTCCACCCTATCAAATTCTCCTTTATGATGTTTTCTGTATCTATTTTGGGTTTTAAGAAATATCAAAGTAAATGTTAAGAGAATTACTTTTCTTTGTGGAATAGCTAATACAGTAGGCAACACACTTACATTTTCAAAGTTCAGACCTGAGTGGAGATGATAACGTGTGATATTCTGGTCTTCATTACTAAAAGCCTCCTTTACTTTGTAGGATCGAAGTGCTTAACCCTGTTGGTGGAAATTCACCCCCTTAACAATGTGAAGGTCCTAAAAGCAGTAGACAGCTATATTTGGGTTCAGGTAAGTGAACATGTCCTTTCATACTTACCTCATTAATCGAAAGGCCTGAAACCTAGGGCCCTGGTGTTTACAAAGTGCTGTCACACACATGATCGCATTTAATCCTCAAAGCACGCTCGTAGATGGTGTGGCTGGAATGATCAGCTCTTCCTTGCAAACATGGAAATCTTTAAAACTCAAACCTAGCTCCTCTGCCTCTACTATATCATGTAGTGTTTTATATGGTAAAATATTGACTATCAAAACACATTTAAAGTAAATTTAAAAATGGTTTATTTAATGTATTCCTGGAGTTGACAGATCAAATATCTATGATAAATGACCTAATTAATCCTGGAATTTATCAGCCCCATTAACTGATGCAAAATCACTGTGTGTGCGTAAGCAGACTAGATAGAGTCAATCCTCATTACTTGCACATTCTGAATCTGTGAATCCTACTACTTGCTCAAATTTATTTGTAACCCCAAATCAATACTCTTGGTGCTTTCACAGTCATTTGCAGTCATGTTCAAAGTGGTGAAAAATGTGTCACCCAATGCACATGTTTCCAGCTGAGACCGAACAAGGTAACACTGCCTTCTTGATTCAGTTCTCATACTACAAACAAATGTTGTTTTTATGGTTTATGTAGTGCCATTTTTATTTTCATCTTGGGGGCTGTTTGTTGGTGATGTCACTGTTTGAAATGTCCCCCAGGCAGACTGCTGAAGTGCTAATGTCCCTAAGTTCAAGAAGGCAGCAGTGTATGCTTTACAAAGTAAATATGTGTGTGTTACATGAGCTTCGTCCAGGCGTGAGTTCATAGTGCTGGTTGTTGTGAGTTCAGTGCTAATGAACCAACAAGGTATATTCAATAAGGTGTCTTTAAACAGAAACACACAGTAGACAAAGTTATGTATTAACTTGTTGACAAAACTGTGGTGACTAGAGGCTTGCAGGAACCTATCCTTGTATTTTCCTAGAAACAATGGTCAGTATTCAGTGCGAAGTGTTTGTTGTGACTTTACAGAACATAACTACCACAGATACATGGTCATGCGGGGTAGCAGCATAATAATATCCTTGTGTAAGCTGAGGTATCTGCCTCCTCTTTCCCCCACCCCCTCCCAGCCTCGAACCAGTGGGTCTCCCTCCTGCAATGTGTGTTAGGAGAGGGGATTGCCTGTCACCTGCTCTGGGTCCTCCACTGTCACTAGTCCTTCCAATTGCGCATTTTTGCCACCACTCCTGGCTTCATTGTGGGTCACTGCTGGCTTCCAGACAGGGCTGGCAGGGAGCGCCTGAACTGCATTCCTCTCCCCCAGGAAGCCACTCTGTGTACACTGGCACCAGTGCAGGGGTGCCTGGGACACGGCACACTTCCTTTCTCTGGCCTGTTCTCTTGGCTTCGTTAGCATCTCTACCCAGGGCTATATCGGCAGTGGAGATGTTATTGAAGGATTGGGACCCATAAAGGGAATTAGCACATAGGAAGGGAAAATGTTTTACAAGTATTTGGTTGTACAACATTGTGACTATATTAAAAACTACCAAATGGTATATTTTAAAATAGTTAAAATGGTGCCTTTTGTTATGTGAACTTTATATCAAATTAAAAGTACAGAATACATGACTACATCCATAGATCAAAGGAAAAGTCCCTGTCCGAACAAAGTAAAACCCCTACTCATCTTGTGGAACCATCTCAGTTGCTAGCCCTTCTCCCCGTTCCTCATGCCTGTGCCTCTGGAGAGAAAAACTTCTTCCAACCTCGACCCATGGCAAATCCCCGCCTTCCGCCTCTCTTCCTTCCTCTCCCCTTTAAAGAAACCTCATTCACTGTCCACTGAACATCCATGGTGGCCCCCCGTAGTTCATTTCTCTACGTCTACCTGTGCCGTCTTGACCCCCTTCACAGAGGAGCTTCAGCAGGACAGGTGGGGTTTGGATCCCAATCTGGTACCCTTTGAGAGTTCTCTACCAGCATAAGGTACATCTTCCAGATACTTCCACTGGGTAATTATATACCCCTCTACACATCTATGGTACACACTTCCGGTGATGAATATTAATCATCAGAGTCTAGCTCCATATTTGTGAAGATAAATATTTCCCCAATATGATAAAAATTTATGTAGAGTCCTGCTCACAATGCAAAAAACAGACAAACCAGACCAACCTTGCATGCTTTTGCAGAGCTGTGTCTGAAACCTGTCTCTCTATAGTCTCACCTTCAGGCCTTGCTTTAGAGCTGCCTCATAATAGAAAGAAAAACAACCACCACCTAAACTGGACTTTTAAAATCATGTCCTCACTGGTTGCCACACAAAGAACAGGCAAAGGTTTAGAACTCCACAGCACCTTGTCCAGGTCGCAGTCCTAAGCAAGCATGCCTTGGCCACCTCTGTCAACCCAGGGGAGGCCATATCATCTTCTGTAGGAGTATCTCCTTATTTTGAGGCGATGAGCATTTGTTCTTCCATTTATCTATGCCATGTCACTCATCTTTGCTCCTCCTCCACACCAGTATGTAAAGTATCCCATTTGATGTGCCCAGTTTCACAAATCAGGAGATACTAAGATATTTTTGTAGCTGAATTCTGCATTGCTATCTATTTTATAATTTTGAAGTTATTGCTGTGAAGAATGGTATATAGTGAAAGTTTTGGTTTTCAATTGTAAAAGGGAAATGTGACTACAAAATTTCCCCAGTCTGTAGAGAGGCTGCCAACAATAAAATAGGGACATAAAAGGTTATGTTCTTTCATTAAGTTTTCAAGTTTGGAGGGGAAAAGCAAAATTTACCGGTGGATCTTGTCTAGTAATCTTTCATGTTACAAAACAAACCTGCTGGTTTATAGTTACCATTTTGATAATGAAAGAAGTAAGCCTGGCGTCATCCCATGACCAGTGTTCCCTCGTCACAGCTGATGGCATCACGCCTTGTGTTTCTGGCTGCCTGCTTCGTACTGTGGACGAGCGCAGAGGAGGAGGAATGGGGCGGAACAAGCCTTTTCCTCCCAGGGGTAGTCGCTCTGTGCTCTGAGGCTGGTAGGGCCTCCACCACATGCCACATTGTGACTCACTTCTTGTCTTGGAAAGTCCCTGGCGAAGTTGTGCTTTGTCTACTGGATGTGGGACTTTGGAAGTTGTAATGGAGAGTCCGTTTACTTAGCTCTTAAATAGTAGGGTTTAGTTGCATAACAGATTATTGATCACTCTTACTTTGTGCATGTAAGACAGAAGTTTCTGTAGAAATGTTGTTTACTTTATTTCTGATTGGCTTCAGAATGACATATTCCAAATAGCATGCACCACCCCTAGAAATGGCTTACACTTTAGCCTCACTGTTCAAATGAATTATGTTGCATCTGCAATCAATTTCCCCCCGGAAAACTGAGCTGCTGAAAGTGTTCCCTATTCCTGCTTGCTTCCCTCTGTGATGTGTGCATGAATGTGACTCACCTGAAGTATTCTGTGGTTCCCTGTTCCTTCTATGGTATGTAGTAGTCAAACACAACTTTTGGAATATTTGTGTAGCAAGGTAGTTGCTTATGATTTTGATGAATTTCCTTTTTGCAGTTCCTCTACCCACATGTTGACAGTCATCGTCTTTCAGAGAACCATCTGTTACTGATTTCAGAAGAGAAATGTAAGTGCATCTTCAGGTGGTATATGGGGACTTCATGAACGGCACATCTAGTGAAGTATGGGACATGACTGAATCTTCTAGATATCCACTCTCCAATGCTGAGGGTTCTCTGACCTTTGGTGCCTATTTAAGACTGAGGACTCCTGTGGAAGGGCTTTCCCTTCAGCCCCGACTTGTTGATCCCTCAGGTTGTTCTCTTTCCTCATCCTGGGTATGATGGGCTCCTGCATCTATGGATTTTCAATTTTGTCACATGGTAGGATGTTTGTAGAACAGTCGTGCAGGTCAGTTTTGCCTTCTTTAGTCCATCCTTTTTTAGGATGTGTGTCACAGGATAACCATGATGTAAGGAGAGAGGCTTAGGCAGGGAGAGAGAGGAAAGCATTGGAAGCAAGAAGAAATCCATGGCAGAACTTGAGGACATGGCCAAATTCAGGGAGAGGCAAATAAGATTGCGACATCCTTTAGTGATATTTTCAAGTTGGGGCCTGGGAGGAGAAAGGACAAAATTCACTGATGTATCTTATTTACGAAGCAGTCTTTTGTGCTGTAAGATGAAACTGCTGATTTATAATTGGGAGAACAGACCTGAGGGTTTAGGCTTGTGCTCAGTCCCTATGCTCTCACCCACTGTCTGTCTCACGTTTTGTATCTAGCACTGGCAGAAGGTAAGTATAGCAAATGAATCTAAATTGCTTACTGAGAGAAAGGGACCACCTACAAATCGACCCAAAATGTTTAGTTTTGTTAATGTGAAATTGATCCCTATAAAAATGCCTCCCCCAGAGATCTTGCATAATGAGTTTTCTATCTAATATTTTCATACAAACAGGTATCTGGTATTTGGAAACTGAAAACCCTGTCAAATGATCCCCTATTAGCTGTATATAAGATGGATGGAACAGGGGAGGCAAATGCTTGTTGAGGCAACCCTGGGGAGCAGAAAGGTTAAATGCTTCATATATTGTCCATATTGGGAGCAGAGTAAATGCTGGGCTTGAAACAGACTGTAAGGGAGGGTGGAGAAAGGGGGGCTGTGTTTTGAACCTTTATTGTGAGATTTTTATGATAATATTTTTCAGCCAGTTCTTTAATCTGCATTTTTTTAATAAAAAAATTATTTACAATGGTTAGGTGAAAAAAGTACTCATGTTTTTCATGAAGGTTAAATTATCTTTTTGTTGTTTCTTTTTTTAAAGACATTGAACAATTTCATATCCAAGTCATCCAAGAAGATGGAAATAGAGTGGTAAATATTTGAAATTCCTTTTGCTTCAGAGTGTTTTCCACAAAAGGTGACATGTCTAGTCTGTTCAAGATAGATTAATTTTACAGAAACATAATGTTTTCTTTATTTGATGTCTTTAAAATTATAGACTTACTGTTGTAACGTGAAATATAAGACATGAAAGAGTTAAATGTCCCCCCCTCAGCCTCCAATCTCAGTCCCCTGAGATAACTAATAATGACAGCTTTGTGTGACTCTTTCCACACATTTTACCTTGCTCAGTGCACATATACAAGGATTCCGTTGTTTTTACCAAAGTAGAATTGTACCATATATATTAATTTGCAGTTTTTCTTTCTTGCTTTTTACCTCATATATCAGGATATCCGTATAGGTTACTAAATAGAGGTAGAACTTTTTTCTCTAATTTTTATACGTAGATACATATACACACATATAATACATGAGATCATAGCATATGTGCTGGGGTTTTATATAGTTCTGTTTTCTTTCCTTTCTTTCCCATGTTTTCCATTCTCCGTCTCCTTTTCACCTTCAACTTTCGTTCACAGCCTGGTATGTATCCTTTCATACTCTTCTCTCTACCTGTATTATCTACCATTTCCACCTCTGACACACCCAGGGGATTGTTTATTACTCACTCCTCATTCAACTTTGTGGAATTACCTGCAAGTTAACAAGAATAGTTCCAGTTCAATCTCTTTAGAAGTATGTAATAGTCCCTGGCATGGAAGTACACAGTTTTTCACCCATTTTCCCACAGACTTACATTCACTTGATTGCCAATATTTTCTTTTACTTGTTTGCATTAGAAATTGTCTCAAATGTTTTTGTTTCTATAGCTTCACATATTTGGTACATATATTCTTGGGGCTAAATCCTCAGGGATGTATATAATTGATGGATATATGCTTTAATAAATTTTAATAGATTTTGCCAGATTGTTTCCCAAAAAATTGGTAACAATTCAGTTTTACAACCAAAGTGTAACCAATACCCTTTCCCTCTATATGTACCACTAATAGGTATATTTGTCTTTTCTTTAATTTTATTTTTATTTGTTTATTTTTATTTGTCTTTTTTAAAAAGTTCCAATTTGATGGGAATAAGTTGCAATCATTATTGTTTTAGCCTTTACTTCCCTTTATATTTGTGAGTTTGAGAGCATGTACTATGCTTAGTGGCTATTTGAATTTGCTTTTCTGAAAATTGCTTAGTTGTAGCCTTGTCTATTTTTTCTACTGGGTTGTCTTTTTCTTGACAATTTATATGAGATATTAATATAGTATTGATATTAAAAATTATTTCCTTCAATATTTAAATAGTCTACATCAAAATAGTCTTTCTCTGAAGATTTTAATTTTAAAGTTATGTGAACAAAATGGAAATGGAAAATGGCATTTATCTATTTATTTATTTATTTATTTATTTATTTAAAGATTTTATTGGGGAATCAGGGGAGAGAACAGCTTTGAGGAATCAGGGAAAGGGAACAGACAAGTTGCTGTCCTTTTGTTCTTCAGACTAGTTGTGGAGCGTGTCGCTTCACTGGCCCATGTTGGTATTGTAGTCATTGTACTCTTCCCGGCTGAGGCAGTCAGTCTCTGGCCATTGGATGGCTGTTCACGGCAGCTCACGGCAGCTCTTGTCAGCTGCCGGTAGCTCATGGCAGCCCACTGCAGTCCCACTGCAGTTCCACTGCAGCCTATGTCATCGCCAGTGACTCACGGCAGCCCAGCTCCAGGTTGAGCTGTTGTTCACCATCTTAGCTGTAGAGGGCGCAGCATCACTGGCCCATGTGGGATTCAAACCGGCGGCCCTGCTGCTCAGAGCTTGCGCTCCCAAGCCAACTCTTAACCAACGAGCCACTCGGCTGGCCCAAAAATGGCATATGTTAATATGTATCTACTATTGATTGCCTAAAAGAAAGAGGCCGGGCTAGAAAATGACCAGAAGGACATGTGTGGCTAGAGCTCTGGGCCACCAGTGGCTAAGTGAATGGAGGGCAAGGTCAGGGCTAGTGGTCAGAAAAGGGTCAGGCCAGAGAGGAAAGACCAAAGCAGAATCCCAAAGCCAGTGATGAGAATTTAGAGGAGAGAGTGAGATAAGTAAGTCAGGGTCAGAAACTGGGAAGGGGCACAGATAAAGCACTGGCTGTTTGGAAGAGGGGAAAAGACACTGCAGAGAGAGTGAGGGCAGGGTCACTCGTCAGCAGCCCAGAAAGGATTCTCCTGGCCAAGTCAGTGCAGCCCCAGCATTCCTTCATCCACGTGTGCCCTTCGGTGAGGCACTTTTGCTCTTATTCATAAAGGCTTAGACTATCGCTAGTTAAGGCAGTGTGTGGTTCTGCATATCCCTCACAACATCCCTGCATGACAGAGGTGGCATTGTAATTATCCCCGTTTTTACAGGGAACACTGCAACCAAGACTCACAGAGCTGAGGTCGCTCCTGAGAGGGACAAAACTAAGATGTAAACCTGAGTCACCAAAATCAGGTTCTTGTCAGTATATACCTTCATTGGAAACAGTTCCCAAATCTACCCAGCCTAACACATTTCAGAGAAATGGAAACAAGATGGCTGTCCAAGGTTTAGAGACAAACAAGCATGCTTGGGTCTTTTCTCAGTATCACTTTCCTCCGTCCTAAATGTAATGGACCTTGGCAAGCCAGAAATAGAGGTGCACAATTCTGCTTGCCCTGTGTCCCCCTAGAGTTCCAAGTTAGCCTCAGTGGAGAAATTAGGATATGGGGGTTTCAGCATGAAAATGGACCATTCTCATGTTCCCTTTTTCCTCGTTTCTTCTACCTCAACCCGTCTACATTCTTTACTCATCTGCCCCAATATAGATTACTTTTGCTATATAAGCATTTTGAGGAAAGCAAATTCTTAATTTCTTGTATTAAACTTGTGATATCCTTGACAATTGACATACCTTATTTCATTTCCCTTCTTTCAAACAAGTGTTGAGGATATAAAGGTGTTACAGAAGAGTGCCCCACTGGGGGAGACTTAGAGTATTAACTCAAATAAAAGTGTCCCAAAGCACTGTAGGAACACAGGGGTGAAGAGTTTTGCCTTTGTTTTGGGCCTGAAGTTTTCCTTGGCACCCCAGCCTCTGTGAGGGCCTCTCGTTGGCAGAGACCTAAGTGGGTTATGCCCAGAACAGGAAGCTCTCAATCTTCTATTAACCTAGCTGTTGATTTGTGTTAGGTGTGGCTTGCCTCACTCAGCAAAACCAGCCTGTCTGCTAAACTAGGAATAGAATAAAAGAGTATATTATAAAGTGTTTGGGAAGAGCAAGTAATGAAATGATGCTTTAAATCTTTTCTGGAGAGACTTTCCATGTGTATGTGCTGGGGGTTGGGGGGCTGCTAAAAATAAACTATGGAAATATTTACATGTATTATAAAGATAGTATATGCAAAATAATAATGAATTCCAGATCTGTTCTCCTTTAAAATAGTTATTTCCGAAATCTTTTTGTCTCTTTAGGTGATTAAAAATTCTGGCCATCTCCCAAGACAGAGAGTAGCAGAGGATTTTGTTTGGGCTCAGTGGGATATGTCAGAGCAGAGATTATACTACATTGACCTGAAGGTAAAAACTAGTCCACTGGCCCTCCTTTTTATAGGTACAATTGAATTTTAACATTGTCATAACTGTAATTTATTAATCACTGCATTTTCATTGATGGGGCAGTCAGTGAAGATTTATTAAAAATAATGAAACAGGGTTGCCAGCTGGGGAGGATTGGGGGAGTGGGTGAAAAGGAGGAAGGAATTAAGAAGTACAAATTGGTAGTTACAAAACAGTCATGGGGATGTAAAGTGCAGTACTGGGAATATAGCCAATAATGTTGTAATAACTATGTATGGTGTCAGATGGGTACTAGATTTATCAAGGTGATCACTTCCTAAGCTATATAAATGTCTAATCACTATGTTTTACACATGAAACTAATATTGTTTGTCAACTGTAATTGAAAAATGAAACAACTATTAAAACTTTTTTTTTAAATAACAAAAAGGTTTTCATTACTGTTTGCTTCTTGGCTGCTTCCTTCTCTCCCTCTTTTATTTTTTAACTAGTGTTTTTGTTGATTTTTAGGCTAATATATCATTTATTCTGTTTTCTCTTTTAGAAATCGAGGAGTATCTTAAAATGTATTCAGTTTTGTGCTGATGAGAATTTTAACTTAATGGTAAGTCCAGAGAATGATTTGGCTACAGGAAATTTTATAACACGTTGCCCCCTTTTAAAGAGAGTTATCAGCATTTTAAGTCTTCATGTGTCAGTCACTTGTGTGAGCAAGTAAAATGGCCCTTACCATTTTGAAGTTTCAACTCTATAACAAATGCAATTAATATAGGTGATTAGAAGAGCACACACAAGAAATTTCTGCTAACTGAATGCGTCTCATTAAAGAGACAAGAGTGAGGATTAGTAGAAGGTAATAGGTATGGTCTGTAGGAGATAGCTTTAAGTGGTTATAAGTCATTTGATACCAGAGAACCTGTGAGGTTGATGGATTTGAGAATAAGGTAAATAGTCAATGTGAGTGTATAGTTTAATTAGTGAAACTCTAGCATGATTCCTAAAAAAGCTATTTGGAATGCTAGCCTTGAGGTAAGTCATAAATAGTTTTATCAGTAATGGACAGTATATTATTCTTCTTGACTAGAACTAATATTGGTGTCTAATGTAGATTGGCATCATACTATTGTAAGAATTTCATTTATTTCTTCTGCTCCCCTCTCCTTTTGACTCATCCACTGTCTTTCTAAAGACACATAGTCTTTCCCTTCTTATGTGGTCATCTATGTCTTGTAAAAGTTTACTCTTTCCAATTGGTTTATCATACAACCCATTTATGATATTAAAATCTGAGGCAAAGTTTGCCAAGTGTTAGCCCTTTGAGAAATAAATATGCATCAAGCTTGTGATTGTATGTAAACTCTAGAATGTTCTTGATGGAATTTCTTTGCTGTGGATTTGGGGAATAACTTGAAGATGATGATGGTTAAATGTGCTCTTCATCATTAGGCAATTACACTTGCACTGGTTTTCAGAACTCTCATCACTTAATGTCTTTTTTTGTTTGTTTTCCCCTGATTTTTTGACAGTTTGAAGCACCTTTGGACATATCATTAAGTGACTCAGGATTTAAGTAAGTTATTCATAGATTACTGTTAATTTTTATAGATACTCATGTGCAGAATGATTATATTTATATCTAATCTATAGCATGCAAATAAAAGAAATATTTGATGTGTGTGTGTGTGTGTGTATCTTCTTTTATATTTCTGTTCTCTATAGTGAATATATGCAGTTTTATCAAGCATGAACACAGGGTTTTTCCATGCAAAGTCAATCGTATTGATTTTGTAGCCATTTGTTTCTGTAGGGCATTTCCATTTGTTTTGCTCTATGGAAGTGCTCTTCTCCCTGTGATTCAATAAAGGATCTGATGAGTCAGAGACAGCTACATTTAAAATCAAACATCAAAACCCTTTTCTTGTTGCCATTAAAGAGGATGTCACAGGTCAATCCACTCGTAGCTCACCTGAGTCTACTGCTTTACTGCTTTTCTGTTTTTCTCTTTATACAAAAGACATGTTTTTCCCCCAGTCTATTTTAAATGTAGTAAAAACATGAAAGACTTTTGAAAAAATAAACACAAAGCCAATAGTGCACAGAAGAAATGGAAGTCTTCTTGAATTAAAGTAATGATAATCCTAAACTGTTAAGTGTTTCACTAGCTTTATCTCATCCTATATGAACATTCAGTTGTACTTCTTTTGAAGCAGTATATGCACTACTCTAAATCAGAAAAAGTTATAAAAATGTAAGCTAAAAGTAATATATTTTTTTCTCTGTTGCCCAGTCCACACCATTTATGTACCATGTATTTTTTTTAAATCACTGTTTTACAGAATTTTTTTAACCAAAAAATCATGTTATCTACTTAAATTTCTCATGTTTCTACTTCTGTGGGTATATTTTAGTAATTACCACCCTTTTTGAGGGAACGTATTTTTTAAATGCATTCACAATTTCATACCTTTTATATTCTTAGGCTTGTCAACTTTGGATGTGATGATCTTCAAGACCAAGAGAAATTATCCAAATACCTGACTCTGTGCATTTTTACCAACCATACAGGTAGAGCCAGGGTTGCATTTATCAATTTATTCAACTAGAGTTCTATACAAAATTTAGCCGTTTAGCTATATGGATCTTGAGAGTGAAATATAACACAGACACATTTACATAAGTGATTATATGGAGTTTTATATACCAGATTATCTTCTCCACTGTAATTTTACATTTCTGCTGTCAACAGGGTTATTGTTCTAATAGTTATATTTTTGTGTTATTGTTCTAATAGCAGGCATGGGTTCTCATTTAATCAATCTACATTTTCTCACCCACTTCATCTTTTAACAAATGGCATGGTGACGGGGTTGCTTTTTGCTTCAGGCTTACTGATGTGTTTGGGTTCTAAATCTATGTACTTGGCTACTTTAAGAGCCATGCTGTAGCCTACTAAGCTAGCAACCAAAGCTTGACATAAAGTTATTAATGTACAATATTCTGCCTTTTAACAGAATATTGTACATTGTAGATATAGAAAATCAAGAGGGGAAAAACGAGTACCTAAAAATGAGAGGAGAGGAGTATGATTACATGAATGAATCTGGTTATCTAAATAATCAACAGTTATCTAAATAATCAATTCTAGTAACTAAATGTAATAGTCATTTTTTAGTATCCGGACTTAAGTGGAGTTAAGTTGCACTTGGACTAAAATTGTATTTCTTTAAAGCCAAATTATATATGGTATTCATTAAGCCAACATTTATAGTGCACTTACTGTATGCTAGCTATTGGGGATACAATGATTAGCAAAACTGACCTAGTCTTTTTTTTTTTGTAAAGATTTTTTTATTATGGGGAATTGGGGAGATGGGAACAGCGCTGAGGAATTGGGGGAAGGGGAATAGACAAGTTGCTGTCCTTTTGTTCTTCAGTCTAGTTGTGAAGGATGTTGCTTCGCTGGCCCAAGTTGGCACCATCATTGCGCTCTTCCCGGGCGAGGCAGATCAGTCACCAGCTTCTGGACGGCCGCTCACGCTGGCTGCTGGCCCGCTCAAGCTGGCTGCTGGCTACACACGGTAGCCCATGGCAACCCACTGCAGCAGGGGCTGCAGCCTACGCCTTCGCTGGCAACTCATGGCAGCCCAGCTCTAGGTTGAGCTGTTGTTCAGCATCTTAACTGTAGAGAGCAGTGTCACTGACCCTCATATGTGGGATCCGAACTGGGGCCCTCTGGCATCCCAAGCCAGCTCTTAACCATCGCGCCACTCGGCTGGCCTAAAACTGACCTAGTATTTATTAATATAGAGGTTACTATTTGGTGTGAATTTTTTATATTAAATAAGTGCACACATTTTATTTAAATAGAAGCATGATAAATATTATGAGTGAGAATTATAGGAAGCCATGAGAGCATATATTGGAGGTTTAATGGAAGATACTAGTATCTTCGAATATGTTCTAGTTCAGCCAGTGCATCTCTGTTTTTCTCTCCCTCTGAGACATTCCTTCCTGCTCTTAATCATAAAAATTACACCCTTTTCTGCCTCACTCTTTCATAATTCATCCCAATTTTTTCCCCCTGACCATTGCATGTCTCCCTCAGCCCTCCATAAACCAGTCTTGAGAAGTTTAAGGAAGGAAGTGATATTTCACTTGAGAATTAGGCCCGTGTTTTAGCATTTTGTAGAGACTTTTGCAATGAGATAATTTCCCTCAGACAACTTTGTTCTTAATAGCTTTCATTGTCCAAATGGTTTCCTGAAGGCTAGCCAATGTGGAGATGTTATCTTCATCATTGATGACTATTTATTAAATATCCCTGGTTGCACCATTAAGAGCATGCTTTGTTTTTTAAAATTGCGACTTTACCCAACTTGTAAATAGCAGCAACATTGTTCTGGAGTAATGATAATAGCAGCTATCATTTATCTCACCTAATTCTTACATAATGACCATATTAGGTAGGTTCGATATTTTCTTTATTGATAGATGAAGAAATTAATTAATTTCCTGAAGCTTAGAGAATTTAATTAATTTGTCTTTGGCCAATGTTAAAAATACTGATGCCTGAGTCTCAACCCGAGAGATTCTGATTTAGTTGATCTAAGGTGGCACCTGTGCATCTATGAGCCCAGGTAAGTTTAATGCACTTTTAGGGTTGAGAACCAGTGCTCCAGAGCTGTGTTGTTCACTATGGTACCCATTATCAACGTGTGGTGATTTAAATTTAATTAAAATTAAATAAAATGAAAAAGGCGTTCCTCAGTCACACTAGCCACATTTTAAGTGCTCAGTAACTATGTGTGGCTAGGGGCTACCATATTGGACAGCACAGGTATAGAATATTTACATTATCAAAGAAAATTCTGTGGGCAGGATAGCTTTTCAGAGCCTGTGCAGACCCCATATCACCTTGCTGTGACTTTTTTCCCCTTTGGGATTGGGAGGGGAAACTAAGCCACAATGTAACTATTTGGAAATATTTGCTTATGAGATCTGATATGGCTCTCAGTGTATGCAACTGGGTACACTTATCCTACATCTCACTTTAACTTTCTTCAAAACAAGGAAAACAATAACCTCTATTCTCTAAAGGAAGGTGTATGGAGGATTTTCTTAGAATGGAGGTTGTGATCTTTATTTTTTATTTATTTATTTTTTTAAATTGGGGAGTTGGGGGAGGGGAACAGTGTTGGGAATTGGGGAAGAGGACCAGCCAAGTTGTTGTCCTTCCGTCGCCATCTAGCTGCCCCTTGGCAGCTTGTGGTCTCTAAGCTCAGGGTGCTGTGTTCAATCTTAGTTGTGAGTGGGCTTAGTCACCATCCCATGTGGGAGTCAAACCAGCAGCCTTGTTGTTAAGAGCACACGCTCTATCCACTGAGCCATCCAGGCGGCAGCTCAGCTCAAGGTGCCAAGTTCAGCCTTAGTTGGTGGTGGGCATAGCCCACTATCAATCAAACAGGCAGTCTTGTTGTTAGGAGCACATGCTCTCACCAGCTGACCCTTCCTGCCACCTGCTGGTAGCTCAGCTGCAGCTAAGCTCGGGCGCAGCGTCATTGGCCCATATGGGAATCGAACCGGTGACCCTGTTGCTCAGAGCTCACACTCTTAAGCTAACTCTTAACCAACTGAGCCACTCTGCTGGCCCCATCTTCTTTATATTGTTAACATTTCATGTTTATTCCTCAGGATAGATTCCTAAGTGAATTATTACTGGGTCAACAGTTATGACTATATTTAATTCTCTGAAAAATTTATTTTTTAGGGAGGTTGTACTAGTTAACTCTTTCATCACTATTATTTGAGAATGTTCTCCCTATTGTTCCCTTGACAGAACTGATTATCGTTTTTAAAACTTTACTGATTTAAAAGGAAAAATATGGTGCTTTATTTTAATTTTTATTTCTTTCTTATTAGAGAGGCTGAACTTTTAACTTTGTTGACTAAACATGTCTTTCTCCTTATGATCATGGAACATAAAAGAGCAGAATGAACCAGCTTTTTTTTTTGCTGGCAGTATGTTTACTATATGAAAGTAATCAAAGTGCTACATGGGACTTTTGCAACTCTTATAATTATTATTTTTGTTTATGCTTCAGTATAGCATTACTTTTATTCTTAGTGAGTTTGCTGTCATTTTAGAGAAAGTGACAGTGTATGCTCAGTAACCATAATAGTAATTTTATATCTGACAGAATTGATACTCTAATCTGATAAAGCTATTCTTTTTTATTTTGTGTTTAAGATATTGCAATAATATGTACTTTTAACAATACATTGCAGTCTTAAATGTCATTAAGAATAGGCACAAATGGTCAATATTATAAAGAATGCTTATAATAATCATTAAACCTTCTCAGGGGGCTTTTTTACTACCGTGATTCTTTGATAAAGAAACGAGTGCAGTACAATGGAGAAAATATTGCGATTTGCTGAAGTAGTGTAAGGATTGAATCCACACAGCTAATTAAATATTAGCTTGAGGACGAGAACCCAGGCTTCCAGACTCTTTGTCAAGTTCCTTCGCATCAGGGAAATCTCCTATTTTAGTTAATGACATCAACATTGTTATTAGAATGAAGTATCAGTTTAAGCATAATGCCCTCATTTGTAGGCCATTGATGGACATTATCTACTGTCCATATAGCAACAGTTGCTGGAGATGATGTGCGGTTTTGCACATTGAAGGAGCTGGGAAGGCTGAGGGTGTCCTGGAGTGAGATGGCTTAAGGGAAGGCCATCAGGGCTCATCCAGAAAGGCCACCCTGTGCCGGGACCTCCCTCCCTTGCCCTCTAGCCAAGGCCCTTTGTCACCTAAATATGGTGGGTAGGGGGCTCGCACACCACATGTGCTCTTATTCCCCATGAGATTACCCAATTTGCTTTTTATTCTAGGTAAATAAGAAGACTGGAAATTTTCTGTAAAGAGGAGACACATTTTTGATAAACTAGGCTCTATAGCTATTAGTGATGACTGGAAGGCAAGCTAGATAAGAAGGCAGAGCAGTGCGTGTATATTAGGAGAATGGCATGAAGCTCTGGACACTTCTCTAGTCTCTCACGACTTCCTACCCAGGATTGTGTCTCCATTTGCTCTCCTGCCCTTCAGTAGCCAACCACAATACACTGCTTATGGTGTGTATGGACTAAGTGTTAAATTGAAAATTGATAGCAACTTGTTAATGTACCATTTCTAGAATTTGGGAATAATCTAAAGGAATGGCAGTAAGGTTAAGTGGCTTAGGAAACTTTTTATTAGTCTATGATTCTACTAAGCTCTACTAATTATCTTCTTACTTCTAGGAAGTTTGTGTGTATGTTACAGCCCGAAGTTTGACTCTTGGGAACAAATCACGTATTCAGTGTTTTACTTTCATAAAGGTACTTTTCATTTATTTTATGTTTTACTTTTGCATAATCACTTTTTCCAAATAGTAGCAAATTTGATGCATTTTAAAGTCTTATTACTTCGTAAAAAATTTTATCAGTACATTCTATACCTATATACTTATATAATACATGTTTCCTGAAGAAATTCACTAGTGATAAATATTAAGTTAGCAAGTTATTTTCATATATTATATATTTTTTATCCTGACCTATATCTTTTCTAGGCCAGTAGACCAATCCTAATGGATGTATTTGCCCAAAGTATGTTTCTTTTTTATTATTACTAATTAGAAAGTATCAACAGACTTAACTTACAGAGGTATATAAGGATTTAGTTTGAAACTTTCATGATCTCAGACTTTAACAGGTCTTAGAACTAAGATACATTTATTTCATTTCACACATCTGTTGTACAAGAAATTGATATGCCAACAGCCAGCCTGGGGAGCAGAGTGAAATGCCCAACGTTTTCTGCTCTGAAGTCAGTCGCAGTGTACCCTCTTAACAGTTTAAGTCTGACCCATGCTAAGGAATGTTTATTTTGCTTGTTTAGTTTCTTCAAGTTAGTATTTATATAGCCTATACTATGGGTAGAGTTAAAAATTTTTAAAGATGGATTTTTTTCAAAATGTGAGAAATTTTATGCCAGACCACACCAGAGTTTATTATTCTGCAGGAGCACTTAATATTTTTCTTCAGAAGTTGGAGTTTGAGATAAAAAAGTTCAATAACTTACTCAATAATGAAGAAACTAAAAGTAACTTCAAACTAGACATATAGGGATGTTTTAATAGTATAAGTTTGATATATTGTGGAAAGTTTTTACACATTTTCCTAATGACTGATGATTAAAATTAGTAAATAAAACTTTCCTGAAGATGAAGAGTTAGAAGAGTGGAAAGTGAAGCCTAAAACACTAGGTGTAGTAGGTAGTCTACTACCCTTTCTACCTCAAAGCGGTATTTCTAAGTGACTCAGAGACGTCTCAGAGCGTCTTGGTGACTTCAGGGGTGTGTCAATGAGCCAGCTGGTCTCCTCTGTCTCTTGGATCCTTAAGTAGATTCCTTTGGATCCTTCCCTCTCGGCACAACCAACCTGTTAAGATCTAAGATTAAGCCCAGAACAACTCCTGGAATGTGACTGCACTCAGCTCATCCACCTTCAATGCTGGCTTTTGGAGAATGGTGGGGAACCTAGAAGTTAAAGAGGCTTGCTTTATCGGTGTCACAGGTAGTAAATGTTGAGAGTATTATATAGAGTCACTGCCTTGCGTGGAACTCCAGCTCTTTGTTCCTTAACATGCATTCTCTGGCTTCATGTTCATGGCTTCCCTCTTCACAGGGCACAGCAAGACCTTCACTGCTGCTCTCGGGAGTGCTGACTCACGTGTGACAAAGGGCATTACTTTTCTCAACCTTGGTGAGTGAGAGGGAGAGGCATCTCTGTTCTGAGCCTTCCTTCCAGTACATGTATGCCTCAGTCTTCTATATCTGTTTTCTTCTCTAGGCACCCCATTTTCTCAAGCCTCTTTGGGACTTGGATCACTGACCTTTTTGAAGCCTGATAGGAGAAGGTTTTCTCTGGAAACAACCTCTCCCCAGTCCAACTCCATTAGCCTTTTCGGGGGAAGGGTTGTTTGGGAGGAGGAATACATCTCTCTTTGTAGAGAACCTACACTGTGAGCTTTCTTAGGTTTTTAGTAGCAATCCTAAAAGCCATTTGTTAGTATAACAATGATGACAGTGCATGAGGTGCCCCCTAAAAGCCTATGAGAAATAATACATGATGTTGGCCCTTGAGCCTAGAGAGGACAAAGGCATTTGGAAAATGGCCCTTTCCCTGTTGCCAGTTGCTAAGAGCTTCCAAGTCCCACAAGTGATTTATGGATCAGCTTGAGTGAGTTGTTTTTCGTTGCGTAAATATGGTAAAGGGAACCTGAGTGGCATTAAGGGAGTCTATAAGGAAGAAAATAAAGAAGGGGCTTATTGTACCACTTGAGTGAAAGCAGGTTTTCCATGCTAATTGGGATGTGGGCACGAACAGGTCAGCACAAGACTAAACAACCAAACCATTGCTTGTCTACATATGAGACATGGCACATATTTAAAATGGAAAAGCTACTATCATGACAAAGGTTTAGGCAGGTGTGATGTGAGGGAACTGGGCAAACTTAGAACCAAAATAATATGAATATTCATAATAAGAATTTTTTTTGAATGATACTATAGGTGAGGTAAAATATCTTATGCAAAGTGGGCCAGTATGTGGCAAGTTTTATCACGAACTCTGAACTTGTGGGAAATTGCCTTAGAGAGGCCTTGTGATAATGTTTCCTGTGGTAAGAGAGATAAAGACAAGATTTCTTTCTTGGGTCTGGGACTCAATTCTTGTCAGCAATGCTATATATGAGCATCCTATCTCAAGAGTGATGTGGGAAACTTTCCACTAAAAAAATACTTGGCATTTTGTGAGGTCAAAGGTATCTTTTCCTTTCTTTTCTTTTTTCACCCCTGAGAATGACTCTTGAAAATGGTAGGCGTGATTTAATCTATGGTCTTCAGAATGTGAAAAGGGCAGAAATACTAGAGCTTTGTGAAAATAACCTATCTTACATAGGTCATTTTTCCATCTTAAACACATTTTACTTTATTGATACAAAATTATACCCAAGTAAAACTGTTCTAGAGGTAATTTTTATGACAGCAATATTGCTTTATTTATTTATTTATTTTTAATTGGGGAATTGGGGGAAGGGGAACAGACAAGTTGCTGTCCTTTTGTTCTTCAGTCTAGTTGTGGAGGACGTTGCTTCACTGGCCCATGTTGGCACTATCATTGTGCTCTTCTCGGGTGAGGCAGATCAGTCGCTGGCTTCTGGACGGCCACTCACTGCAGCTGCTGGCCGCTTACGCTGGCTGCTGGCCACACACGGTAGCCCATGGCAACCCACTGCCACAGGGGCTGCAGCCTACGCCTTTGCCGGCGACTCACAGCAGCCCAGCTCCAGGTTGAGCTGTTGTTCAGCATCTTAGCTGTAGAGGGCAGTGTCACTGGTCTCATATGTGGGATCCGAACCGGGGCCCTCTGGGGTCCCAAGCCAGCTCTTAACCAACGCGCCACTCGGCCATCCCAATATTGCTTTTTTTAGTGATGTATGTTTTGCTATTAATTGCATGCAATTTTCCTAAATTGTCACCTGACTGAAAGGGGCTTATATTGATTGAAATATTAAAGAATAGTGTTTTGGGGAAATTTTCCATGAATCTGCAAGCATCTCTCTATAAGAAAGATATGTTTATAAATAAAAAGCTACTATTTCAAAAATGAATACTGTATGCTATTTTACTTAAGTTATCTTGATTTTTACAATAATTCTGCTTGATGATATCCCCATTGTACAGATAATGACACCGAGGCTTAGAAAGGCTGAGATGTGTGCCCAGGCTTCTTTTAGTGTCTCTTTTCAGGGGCACTATGTTAGCTTCTTATTGCTGCTGTAACAAATCACTGTAAATTTAGGACTTAAAAGAACACAAGCATTCTCTAATGGTTCTGGAGGTCAGAATTCTGAAATGAATCTTGAGGAACTAAAATCAACATGTGGGCAGCAATGGGTCTTTATGGAGACTCTAGGGAAGAATGCATTCTTTGTCCCCTCTAGAGGCTAGCATTTCTTGGGGTGTGACCACATCACTTCAATCTCTTTCGTCATATGGTCTTCTCTTCTGTAGTCAAATCTTCCTCTTACAAAAACATTGGTGATTACCCTGGGTCCACTGGATAATCCAGGATACTCTCCCTGTCTCAAGATCCTTCATTACATCGGCAAGGTCTCTTTTGTCACTTAAGGTAATGTACTCACAGGCTCTGGGGATTAGCACATAAACATCTTTGGAGGCCATCATGCAGCCCACAACAGGTAGTACTGACATTTTTGGTGCGACAATAATTCTTTGTTTGAGAATGCCCTGCACAGTGAGGCATTTAACATCCCTGGAGCCCACTCACTGAATGTCTGTAGGAATCCCCTCTTCACCCCAATGATTGTGACAACCCACAACACCCTCATGTATTTCCAAATGTCCCCTCCTCCAAGGAAATAGTGCCACTCTAATTAACTCGTTAACCTAGGTCATGTGATGCCCAAAACCTTATCACTGTGCCCTCCTATATTATTATTTGTGTTTTGCTATTTAAGGTTTGCCATAATTACATTACTGACCCATTTGTGCTAGGTACTTTAACATCACTTAATCCTTGGTGACTGAAAGGACACTTGTAAGTCAACTGGTTAGAGTTTTACATCCTCTTTCCCTTCCTTTGTGCAGAATACCTCCTATGCAAATGATTAGCATATATTTCTCTGCTTCTTAGAAAAGTAAGTTTCCATCTAGCTCACTTATAATCTAAATGTTTTATCTATATGAAATTCACTACTATCATGTCAATTTTTGTTTTCCTACGATCGTAAAATAATATTGGTACTTCTACCCTCCCACTGACCAGAAATCTATTTTTATATCTTGGTTCAATCTGTATACAAATGTTCTTGGTATAAAAATATCTAGTGCAGAGTCCGTGAAGGCGTGAATTCTAGGTAGCTAGGTATGCAAGGAAATAAATGAGGACTTCATACAGTGTCAGAATGCCTGCAGAGATTGTTTTGATGAATATCAATTTAAAGTTTCTCTAAACAAAATGATGATGATGATGATGACAATAGCAGTGACAACAGAGATGAGGAGGACTATGGTGATGATGATGAGTGGTCAAACATAGGAAACTAAATTTTAGAGCTTTCCCAAACTGGCAGAAACTGAAGGAAATTCCCATTATAAGCTATTCCCAGCCTATCAGATTAAGGAACGATTCATGTTGCTTAGCATTTTTTATTCTAATTTGCTCCCAAAGACCATTTAGATTCATATAAATCCACAATTCACTTAGAAACAAAACTACAGATTAAGGTAATCATGGCTAAACGTCTGATGAAAATTAGCCACAGATAGAAATAAATGAGATCTGGCTAATAAGAAGAAATGTCCTGACATCAGAGAGATTGGTATCACATTGTGGTTAAACTTTTGTGTTTAAGAGATTCAAAGAAAAATACGGATACTGTGATGTTCTGGGTTTTATCTGTACTGGTACAGCTCTTACCACATGTAAATGTCTTAAATCTTTCTTTTCTGCAGACTATTATGTGGCTGTTTACTTACCTGGTCATTTCTTTCATCTACTTAACATTCAACACCCAGACCTGATCTGCCACAGTCTGTTTTTGACAGGTATGGCTGTAGTTTTCCCCTCACAACATGGCCCATAGGGGTTTGTTTTTACTTTAATGTTTATTTTTATGTGAGAGGGGGTCCTTTTATTTGCTGATTTACTTTTTTTTCTTCTTCCAGGAAACAATGAAGTGATTGATATGCTACCTCATAGTCCTTTGCAGTCACTGTCAGGGTCCCTGGTACTGGATTGGTGTTCTGGAAAGCTCTATAGAGCGTCCCTCAACCAGTCATATTTATTAGAGTTCCTACGGAACACCCAGCTGGACTGTGAGAAGATGGCTGTGCTACACTGCATGCTGTCCTGTGGCCACGACCCACAGTTCCTGGAAGCCAAGGTGGAAACATAGTTTAAGTTTAAAAATTGGCAAATAGACAATGTCAAATGTATTTATGTAGTGGCTGAAAATGAACAGAAGCTATTTTTATCTGTTAACAGTTAATGGAGGTTTATGGTCTCTATCCTGACTTGAATGTATTCTTCTTTTATGTTCCTTTTTATGCATCCAACCAGACCTCCGACGGGGAGGGTGTGTCTGTTCCTCTGACTGCTCTCTTTTCCACCTTGTGAATAAGGGTTTAGCTCCATCAGTAACATTTTAAGGAAGTGCTCAGTAAATGATGAGTTTCTCAAATACCTACTTTTCCACCTTATCTGTATTTGGTGTATGTCGTGCAATGGGTTGTATTTATTACGTTTTAAATGAAGATAGTTTACATTTTAATTGCATAATATAGTTTACAAAGCACTTTTACACATTTTGTCATTTAATTTTATAGCTATCCTGTGAAGTTGGAGAAACCCTCTTAATAGACTTAATTGGGACCAATGGGTGATTGGTTAATTGAAAAACAAGATATCGTAAACATTTTATTTTAACCTAAAACATATAAATGTACATTTATTCACCTATCTTCTGATGTAGAGTAAGGCCCTTTATTTGTATATCAGCTAATTGAAGTTCATAATCATATTTCTTACATAAAACCAGTAATGTATTGTCTCTGATTTCCTGTTACTTTTTTGTTCCCTAAGGAGATCAATAATTTCAAAGCAATTTATGTATATAGGGCAATTTTTTTCTCAATCTTTTATAGTTGCCTCACTTACACCTAGTTTTTTAGTAAGTGTTTTAGAGACGTGCCTTTCAGCCTTCCTAAAATAGCCAACTTTTTTGACCCAATGACATATTTCACTTATCTATGGTAATAGTTTATTAAATTACCTAATTATGAAATAAGTACAGTTAGCATGAAGAGATTTGGAAATTAAAACATCTTATTGGCTTGGCAAGCCTTAGAGTACCTGGCAATCTAAGGTGGAAAACGAGGAGCTTTACTCCTCCAGAGGATGGTTTTGGAGACTTATGAGAGAGCTGCTGATATCACAGGGATTATCCCTCCCTTGGGAGGGTGGTACAGTGATGCTCAAAATAGTTAAATAGTGTCACAATGTTCTCACTCATTACTGAGCTGGGATTCAGACCCAGGTCTACTGCTCCAAGCTTAGTGGGTTTGTTTTCTCCCGTATCTCACAGCTATTCCCACTGGTACTTTGCTAGAATATGACCTCCTCTAGCAAATACAAACATTAGGTTGAGGAAAGCTTATTTGGATTCCAGCCAAAGGCACTTATTAAAAAGATGTGTAAAAAGGACCTTATTTATAATACTGTTTTACCCACACAGTCTTGCATTATGTATCTTGACGATAGTATAGAAGTGAGTGTATTTTTAGACAATTCCAAAATAGATATAGATTTTAAAAGATTCATATATATATGTATATATATATATATTATACTTCTTATATAAATAAATAAATAAATATATATATATATATACACACACACACACACACATATATGGGCAGTGTGCAGATTTAAATAGTAACAGAGTTGTCTTCTTACTTTTTAAAGATTATTCAATGGGTTTCTGAGAACATCTCTGCCTGCCATTCATTTGACCTCATTAAGGAGTTTATAATTGGTAGGTATTGCTGATGTTTGCATGTTAAGTTGAATCCTTGACCCTTTTGCTTGAGGGAAAACAGTAAATTGATAATGTCTCAACCTGTCAAAACGCTGGTTAGGAGCTTTATTATTACTTTTTTTTTTTACTCTATTGCAGCCAGCAGCTAATTAAATTTCATTCTCTTGTGGTTTTGTGAGAAGTTGTGGCTGTTCAGAGACTGATGAAATATAGGATATGATTTTGATTCTATAACCTCATTAGTGATTTTTTTCAGTAAAATGTAACTTTGTTAGCTTTGTGTTGGCTGATTCTATTTGAAGTGATATAATGCCATTTGAATACATATAAGTGCCAAATAATTTTTAAAAATTCTCATTGTCAAAAGCAGAACCTAAACATTTTAATCAGTAGATAAAATCATAGTGGTTAAGGTTTAGAGGATGAAAACCTTTGTTGGTTTGCTCATTTGGGCAAATTACAATGTCTACTACCGTATTATTAAACCATGTCTATTTTTTTCTTTAAAAACCTATTTAGCTTCTTCATATTGGCGCATATACCCAGAGACAAGTAACTTGGATAAACTTTTGCCATATTCCTCCGTTCTCACTTGGAGTACAGTAAGTTAATGCTTTGTATTCCTTGTGTAATTAAAATCGACTCACAGTTGTGGGTCAGTTGTAAGATATCCCTGTCACACTAACCAAGATTGTGATTTCATTTAGATTTTTACTGATAAGGAACTGAGTTGATATTTTTCTGGCAGAAAAATAATAGTGAATCCTTGCTGTTGACCATAGAACAGAGCAGTTGAAGGAGAAGGTACAGGATATTTGTTACTCTTCCTACTACCAAGCAGAACTAAGCTTCTGTCATCTTCAAATGGTATTTTATTTTTATTAGTGACTAGAGTGGATTAAAACATTTCTTAGGGTTTTATAAATGAGGAACGCTGGACCACTGCTATTAATCTGAGAGATTCTCTGAGTAGATTAGCACCTTCATGACTCCTTTTCCCAGCCTTATAAAGAAGATCTGCAATAACTCTAGAGCTTTACAACAGTGAAAGTTAGTCGTCTTGAGCAAGTTCACTCCATTTAACCTTTTCTTTCTGTTGGTCCAGATTGCCCTCTATTTTATTAGGAAGTGCTGACCAAAACATTGTTCATTTTCTCTTGAATGTGGTGCGATAAACTGGGCTTTGTTGGCTCAGAAAGTGAAAAGCACTTTCAGGCACCCCCTGAAAAAGGTTCTGCTTCTCCTGTCACACACAGATGTTAGAACTACACGCTTAGTCTGGAGGCAGAGGTTCGAACAAAAAGGCATTTAGAAAAATAAATGTAATTCAGGCAACACAGTCCTAGGAAAATATGTACTAGGATAAATTGTGACAATTCCCATTTTGTACTTAAACTAAATACAGTCCTTAAAAAAGATACGTCACCTGAGTTTGATTTTTACGTTTTTGGTATGCACAATGGTGATGTTTTCCTAACGGCCCTTTCTTCTTGTCTTTTACTGTTAAACTTATTAAAGTTTCATGCCTCACTGTAGAATTATAAGGCGAAGACCTGAGCTTGTTCATTCTTCAGGTCCTCACTGTTTTCTTTTAAGAACCCGTGTGAATATACGTACAGACTCTGTGGTAACATGGCAGGAAGTTTGCAGGTTAAGCCACCCAGTGTTAGGAAACGCACCTCACCACCCATGGCACACCTCTCTTGTTTGCGCTGTCCTGTCAGGTTCAGGATCTGGGGGGCAGGGACAGGACCTCTAGTTCTCAGGGTTGTGTTTAAAGATGGAGCACAAGTTAACTGGATGTTGTGTGAGATGTCAGCCTGATAGGCATGTCTCCACTTTTGCATTTCCCATGAGTATATGGCAGGGGAGTGGTTGTGGACTTAGTGACATCCTACAAGAAGTACAATATAAAAAACCAAAAGTTATAACCACCTGTGTACTAAGCTTATTTTAGGGTTTACCACGTTGCTTTAAAGTTCTTGTGGTTGAAGGAGGTTACCTTAAAGGCCTCTTCTAATCCTGAGATTCTATAAATGTATGCTTATCTTTAGCAGTGATGAAAACCATTTTCCCCCTTCTTTAATCTGCAAATGCTCTTAATGCTACACCCTTAATAAACACGTGTCACTATAGAAAGCATTAACTTCACACTTCTGTATGGAGGAAGTTTATTTCTGTAAATAACTGAATTTTAAGGTAGTAGAAAATATGGTGTGCTTATACATTGATAATCCTGAATTATGCTGTGCAAACAATTAGTTTTGTTATACCTATTTTTTTTTCACAAAACAAGTTTATTGTGGTTGTCTCAACAGTAGCTGTGTGAGTTGTTATACTTATTTTAAGATGCTATTCATAATGTAAAGCCCTAGTGAAATTTTAGAGCTTTTTTGAAGTCTCCTCTGTTGCTGAGATAAGTGAAGCACACAAGAGATTCTTATCATAGGCTTTTGACTCTCACAGTGGAGAACTCAATTGCTTGAATGTTCTGGAAATTTATTTCTCCACTGCTCCAATCCCCTTTTCACAGGACTATTGTGTATAGTAAAATCCAGGATATTTAAATACTAAAGAAATACCAGATTTTATATCTACATAACACCTTCTAAATTATTTTCTCATGTATTATTTCCTTTTTTAGGAAATAAAAGATGAATTGGCTAGCTGAGAGGCTAATATACGTAATTCACATAGAAACACTCTTTAAAAATAACAGTGAGTCAAGGGAGATTTTGGAAGTTGACCCTGATGGTAATGCTCACTAGTCAGCAGACTGTTCCAACTGGGGCTTCCTGAGATGACCTGCACACCCTTCCCATTGGCCATGGTGATGTCCTGCATCAGCTCTTTATGGGGCTCTCTTAGCTCTGAAATTATGGGGAGGACGAGGTGCTGAAAAGTTTTCCACTGAAGTCACACCGGATTCCCATTAACCTTGGTTCCTTCTAGTGAGGCAGGACCCACTGCAGTCCATTTAAACAAAAGAATAGAAGAGGGAGGAAGGAACACATAATGGAACCTACCCCCTTCATATCACACTGGTGTATATAGTGTATAAGCAATATATACTATTTGCTCTGTATTTCATCATTAGTCTTCTTTCCTTTAGCAACACTGTCAACTATTGTTATCATAACTTTAAAGAATATCTGCCCTTCTGAGGCAAGAGACAGGCTGTGTTCACTGTTATTTATAAATCCCAAGGTTTATTTAAAGTAGAGGTTAGCAAACTGGAAGCTGCCCTCAGCTTCTGTCTGTGCAGAAAACTTCCTGAGGCTTGAGCTTGTGGCCGCTGATATGTTTAACAGTTATGTGTCTGTTTTTCCCACCATAGGAAATTCCTGGAATAACCCTTGTGACAGAGGAGATTGCATTGCCTCTAATGAAGGTAAGTCCCTCACAGAGACAAAAGCACAGACGTGCGTGGCTTCCGTGCTGCCTCCACACTCACTGGAGTTAAAACTCTGCTGCCCAAGTGTTATGGTGGTTCCAAAAGGGATTGTGAACTGTGTGTGTGTGTGTTGGGGGGGCGGGTGACGAGGATAAGGGGTAGGGCTAGTTCTCTAGAAGACCCTTCCCAAGTGGTTGAGTAAACACTAAGGATGATATTAGGGCAGTTCTTAGAAATGCTCTTCGAGGAGGGAAGTTTTCTGAAGATAGAGAATTACAGGTCTCAATATAAACCATATAGAACTAGTACTTTCTACTACACCGCAAAGTAGTCAGTACTGGAGGAGTTCTCCTTAATGATCTTTAGAGGGTGTAGGTGTTGTTTACTTCATTGGTGCTGTCACCCCCTCAAAACACACAAGTATGCATACATGCATGCACGGGCGCGAGTGCAAACACACACACACACACACACACACACACACACACACAGAATTTTAAAATTATTAAGTAACCTGGCTGGGATTATTTAATTTCCTTCTGGTTCTGAGAACAGCTTTTCTGTTTCTCAAGAGCGCCCTGCATCGGCTCCCTATGTGGTCTCAGTCAGGCTTTGCTCATGTCCTTCCTGCTCTGAGTGTCTTTCTGCAGTCTGGTGGTTTCAGAAGTTTCCGAATACAATAGGGAGGGCAGGGTGGGGTGGGCGAGTAGAAAAGAATGCATCTGTAGTTAAAAACTGGGGAGTATTTTAGCAGTTTTCTTGAAGCTCCTTTGTTGTTGTTTTTGGCTTTGTCTCCTGTTAATTATAGACTGGTGTGTGCTGGGAAATCTCAACTTCTGGCAGCAGGCAGCTCAGTGTGCTGCTGCCTTTTATTTACATTTGATTCTTTTGGAACCATGAGGGGCTGGCCAGACCTGGGCAGCCGGGGGAAAGAAGTGGGCGTTTGAGGTCAAAGTGATGCACTGGGGATGAGAGAGGGCTGATGGGGGCAGGTTCAGTGGTTCTGGTTTGAGTTCTAAGAAAGGTGTGCTAAGGAGGGACTTACAAAGGGATGTTTCTGGGCAGAAGTGTGAGGCCACTGTGAAGTTCTACAAAGGTAGGAAGACGAAGGGAAAATAAAGGTTTAGCTAATAGTTTAAAAGGTTCTTGTTAAGAGCCTCCATTCTTTCATTTTATTGTTCCTGCTTCTACTACTCATCTGCCAAACCTATAATGTGTTTAATGGACAAATAACAAACTAGTGAGGAAATTTTTAAAAAGAAACAAATGTCACCCATAATTCTACAGCTCCTGTCCGTATCAACTGTCTATCCCTCTCCATTTCCTCTTGGTCTTTGTCATAGGTATTCATAGGCAATGTAGAGATACTTGGTAAAGATTACAAATTATATCATAAACATTTCATGTTGCTACATAAGATTACTAATGATTTCATGGATTCTACTGTGTTGCTGTGCCTTAGTTTACTTAGTCATTTTTCTGTTTTGGGACATTTGTTTCCAGCCCCCATTTTTAAAAATTGCTGTAATTTTGCAGTGAATATTTTTATACAGACAGCTTTTCTTTGGATTTATTCCCCTAAGGTTACATGCCCAGGAGTATTACTGGGTGAAAGACTATGACAATTTTTATAGCTTTTGTTTTTTTTGCCAAATTGATATTCAAAAAAAACTGTGATAATTTACACTACTACAAGGGATTTATCAGTTTATCAATGTTATTATAATGTTACCAACATTGTGTATTTTCATTTAAAATAAGTAAGTATAAAAGAGTGATGGGAAGGTTCTCGTAAACTTTTTACCCATTGGCTTGTTCTAAAAATATGATTTGACTTTGCTTGGGAACAAAGTAGCTTAATTTTGGACTCTGGGGTTGTGTGTGTGTATGTGTGTGTGTGTGTAAAATGATATTTTTTAAATTGTCCGTGTTTTTTTTTTCTCCTTGGATGTTCATTCTGACTTCTCACCCTTTCTCTTGTCCCCTAATTATCTTTAGCATTTTGCCCTGCATGTGATTGTTTCCCATGAACCACTCCCAAACGTGCTTGGGAGCTCTTTGGCGATTCCACATGTGTCCATATGCTAGTAGGAAGTGTAACCTAGGACAAGTTTGAACTGTAGACCTTTTCGTGATCCTCTCCATGCAGACATGATCCATCAGGGAAGGCAGAGGTCTAGGTATACTGCTGGGCCTGGCCTTAGGCTCAGGAGAACATGGCACTGGATTTGGTTTGGCCAGCTTGCCCCNCCCCCCGCCACCCCAGTCACTCAGCCTGGGAGACTCTGATCAGTACCTTCCAGTTCACAGGACATCTGGCCCTGGTTTCTCTCATTTGTTTCCCCATCTCTGCCAGCATAATACCCATCGCTATAAGCTGCTGCCTTTGACCTACTTTTTCTACCCCAAGCCCCAGCTTAATTATATTGTGACAGACCTGGTTACAGTGGCACATTCCACCCGCTGCTCTCCCTCCCAGCCCCAGTTGTAAGACTGCTCTCGCCATGCTTACCTATGGCCCTGAGCACCTATTACCTGAATCACAAGTTACCTCTCAAATGCACGCTCGCTGCCAGACTTTCCATGAGGCCCAAGAGACCCCTCTTTACTCTTGACGGCATTTGCTTCCGGTTCTCCTTGGTAGATGACTGCCCTGATAAGGAGTCACGAGAGGGAAGGGAAAATGAAACCAGCATTTGGCTGTCCTCCTGCTCTGTCTGCAAATAATTTTAGTATGAAGTGGAGGAGTTTACAGTTGTTTAATATACGAGCATGTTAAGATGTATAAACCAGTTAAATTAGAGGATTGTTACCTGAAAGACAAGAGGCATCCTGACTTTATGAAATGACTTCCACAAGAATTTTAAAAAAGGAACAAAAAGTATATTGAAACAAGGTTCTCGCCTTAAAAGGAATGCCATCAAGAGTAAACTTCCTAAGAATGATTTTATCCCTTCTTAAAGCATGGTTTTCTCTACGGAAGTGGCAACTTGTGTAAAAGGTTAAAAATTACCCTTGATTTTATGAGAAGAGAAACTATTAAAACTGTCCAACCACAGGAAGCATGTATGAGGTGTGATCAAACAATATGGCGAATGTTTAAATAAAAAACAATTTATTTTGTCTCCTTAAAAAGGCAGACAGTAACTAGTTGTCACTCAAGTGTGGTTTCTACATGAAAAAAAAGAAAAAAACAAAAAAACAAAAAAACAATTTATTACAGTGAAAGATACATTGCTATTAATCCCCCTCAAAATACTCTCCCTCTCTGTGAACACACTTATCTCATCATTGTTGCCACTTTCTGAGGCAGTTCTGGAAGTCCTCTTTCATGAGTGTCTTTAATGGTGCTGTTGTGGCTGCCTCGATGTTTTGAATCATTTTGACTTTGGGGAAGAGCCAGAAGTCACATGGTGCCAGATCTGGTGAATAAGGTGGATGAAGACACACCATAATGTTTTTATTTGACAGAAATTGCCATATACCAGAAACGATGTGTGACAGGGAGCGTTGTCGTGATGGAAGATGATTTATGGCACACTTTAAAACACACCTTTTCTAACTGTAGCTCACACCTAACTGACTGCACCGAACAAGTTGAAACTTGTCACACACTATTACTAAGGTTCAATGCGCTGGCTCCCATATTGAAGATCCCTGCCTTTCCGTTGGATGGCACTTGGCAGCAGCAGCCACCGTATTTTGTGATCACAACGTTAAGACTCAGTGTCACAATCGCTTCTGGTACAGCAATTTCTGTCAAATAAAAACATTATGGTGTGTCCTTATCCACCTATACACCAGATCAGGCACCATGAGACTCCTGGCTCTTCTCCAAAGTAAAAATTACCATGAAAGGGAAACATTTTGAATCCGTTAAGGACACGGAGGCAGCCACATCAGTGCAACTAAAGACACGAAAGAGGACTTCCAGAACTGCTTCAGAAAGTGGCAAGAACAATGGGATAAGTGTGTGTGTTTGAAGTGGGGGGAGTATTTTGAGGGGGATTAATGGCAATGTGTCTTTTACTATAATAATTTTTTTATTTAAACATTCACCATATTATTTGATCACACCTCATATGTATTAAAAAAAATAGAAACAATAGCTTGAATATATAGATAAAAGTTGAATGAGAATACCACACATGGAGAAATGTAGTATTTTTACCAAAGTATTTCTTAAGCCAGACATCTTTAGTTTCATTTTATAAAGTAAGGAAACCTTTTATTTAATCATTTGTTTAGAGATTATTAACTACCTGACCTAGAGATTGGAAAAGCCAGAGACTTAAAGCCCCTCCCCACTAATGGCCCCTCAGAAGTGAGGGCGTCTAACAGAGTAGTTGACACCTGGACTGTTCTGCATTCACATACTTAGTTACTACTTAATTATGCTCCTTCACTTAAACAGTTTTTTAAGAACTGTTTTAACTGGGCAGAACATGAGTATAATTAATTGCTTAGTGAAACACAAAAGGCAGTTTTCCCTTGACCCTTCCAATACAGACAACCACCAGCACTTAAATAAAAGGTTTGCTAGATATCCAAAGTATCCACTCAATACCAGTGTAAGAGCTGACAATTTTTTAAAAATTAGAATTGTTGCTTTGACAACAATCTAGCATTACCAGAAATGTCAGTTGTTTATGTGGGAAATATTAATTGATTTTCCACATTTCAGTTTGTACATATGTCATATTGTGTTATAAGTAGAAATATATATTTGGCCTTCATCCATAGTTCCTGGCACAGTGCTCCTAAAATCCTTGTAATTTCCTAAGTGATAAAAGCTACAGGAACATCTTTTGTTATAATATTGACTGTTTGTTCCCAGTTCCTGAAATAGTTCCAGAGCCCAGAGGTGAGAAGAATGTCTTTTGTTATTTATAACAAGCCCCTTTCAATCCACACCCGAGTTTATGTTAATGAGGTGACTGTTGGAAAGCACCTAAGGTGGGACTGTGGCCTCAAGAACCAACCATGTGATTAGAGAG